GGCCCGCGGCAGCGGAGTGCGCCCCTGACCCCCGAGATGCACGCCCCAGGGCCGCGCTCGCGCCCCGCCAGCGCAGAAGTGGCAAGCCGGCCCTTCCGGACTCTGGAAGCCCCCTTCCCCGTCAAGCTAGAGGCGCGGGTGCGTCTCCGCACTTGGCGGGCAAAGTCTCACGGGAGGGCGCCCCGAAGTCCGCGGGGCTTTTGCAGTCCCGCAGCCCGCGGCCGTCGGGGACCTAGTCCGCGGGGCTATTTGTCGGTCCTAGCGGGCAATCTCCCTGGGAGCGCGCCAACTCCGAGCCCCGCGCGGGGAGGGCTGACCCTCCCCCTCGTTGCCGAGCTGCGTCCAGAGGGGGCCGACTGGAGCCCCTGCGGAGATCCGGGTCGCCAGCTCTGCTCCGCCGGGGGAGTCGCCCCTGGGAGAGCGCCAGAGGTGACGCCAGGGGCACAAGGATTAAGGAGACGCCAAGGTGACTTGTGCCCGTCCCCGCAGAGGCACGAACAACGTTGGGAGAGTAAAATCGCCGGCCCGTCTTCAAGTGCCGCGCTCCGGACCAGGGCGGAGACGGCCTCCGGCGGGCAGCTGGACCGGCGCGGCGCGGAACGGCGCCAAACGCGCAGCGCCCACATTCCGGAGACGTGCAGAGAACGCGGGCCCCCGCCAGCCCTGGCGCCCAGCTCGGCCCGCAGAGGCTCAAGCCCCGGCCACCGCTTTTGTTCACCCTAGTCGCCCGCCCCCGGAACGGCCGCGCACACGGTGCTCCCGGGCCGCCGCGGGGGGCGCCCACCGCCGCCCCGGCGCGCCGCTCCTCCACTTTCCGTTTCCTCCCCCTCCGGCGCGTGGGTTCGCCGCCGCCTCAGCCCGCCGGTGGCGCGGCTGGATTGCAGAACCCGGCGGCCGCGCTCCCTCCGGAGGGCGCCGGAGGCGGAGGAGACCTTCACAGCTCCGCAGGGACCATCGAAACCGCGGCCGCCCCGGCGCGCCGCCCCGGCCCGCCTTATCAGGGTTTAGTCGAGATAAGCGGCCCTGGCCACCGCAAGGCGCGAAACCCGGCCGCCAGACGCCGAACAAAGAGCCGCGCCGCCGCGGAGCCACCGTTCCCCGCAGCCGGCCCGCACGCGCGTCCCCCCAACACTTCCGACCCCCAACGCGCTCGAGTTTCAAAGTTATTTCCGTGTGCCCGGCGGGCCCGCGACCCCGGCTCGGCCGCGGCTCTCCCCCCGCCTCACGGCCAACAAGTTTGCGGAGCAGGAGACCACACACCCTGAGCCTCCCGGCTCCGCGCCCGCCGGACCCCGGCGCGCCCGGCCCACTCCCCGACGGGCATCACGCCTGCCCGCGGCGCTTCCCGCCCCCTCCCCCAGACACAAAGAGCCGGCGGCCAAGGGGCCCACGCCAGGGGCGGGCGGGATCCCCGCGGGGACCCCCGGCGCGCGGGGAGCCACCGGGCCTCGCGCGCCCAACATCCCTCCGGCGGCGGCGCGCGGCCCCGAAGGGGCGGGCGGCGTCCAGCCTCACCTTGGTGGGGATATCGGAGCTGGTGTCCACGGCCGCGTCTGACATGGTGGGGCACGCCGGTGATCCGAAGCAGCGGATTAAGAAGAAAGCGAGAGTTCGGGAACTCTGGCGGGAGTCTGCCCGAGTCCGCGGCGGCTGGAGAGGCGCGCGGCGGAGGTGGCTGCGGAGAGCCGAGAGCAGGACACGGGAACAATGCAAAGATGGCTTTTCAGAGCAGCCAGTGGGGAACTCACGCGGCGCCAGAACCTTTAATATAGATTAGTGGGCGGCGCTCGACCTCCCATTCCCAGATGCTATTGGCTGAAGGCAGGGAGCGGGCGCCCGCTCATTGGCCCGATTCCGAACAATGGGCAAACGTGCTTAAAGCGGCAGTGCCTCGGCGCGTCCCGCGCTGCGCAGTCGCCGGCCGCACTGTCATTCAAGGTCTGAAACGCTGGTTTCCGCGGCGCCGGCGCCGCGGGGGAGGGGCGCGCGCGCACGTTCGGGACGCGCGCTCCCGACGCTGTTTTGCTGGGCTGCTGACGCAGAAAGTCAAAGCGCGGCAAAGCAGCCCGCCCAGCACCCGGTCCTCCCCCTCCCCGCGGCTGCTCGGAAGGAGGGGGAGGGAAGTGGAGGCGGCGGGCCCTCGCGACGGCTGCCAGCGAGCGGGGGAGGGGAAGGCCGGGTGCTGGGCTGCGCTCGCCTGGGGCGGTGCCCTGCGCCGTGCCCGCGAAGATGCCCGGCCCCCGGACCGGAGCACCTTCGATCCGCAATTGTCCCGACGCGAGTGGGCGGCAGCCCCAGGACTAGTCACGAGAGCTCGAAGCGAGGCCCGCGTATCTGGGACGCCCCATCCCTCCAAAGTGCTCCCTTCCCCTGCCCAGCCCCGGGCCCCTTGCGTCTTTGGAGAGTGACCCGTGCCCCACCGCCGTCCTGGCGACCGTGGCCTGAGCCTGCAGCGGCGCGGGCACCGTGCCAAGTATACACTAGGAGATTCCTGCTTCGAGGGGACGCGAGGGCTGGTGCGAGCCCAGCCCTCGAGCGGGACAGCTCGCGGGCGTCCGCCGCAGAGCGGCTCCTGCCTTGCGGTGTGCTAGACGGCTCCTGCCCCGAACGGCCACTGCCGTCGCGACAGCCTCTGGGAGCCTCCTCCAAACCCGCCATCGAGTGCTGACCCCTCCCCCACCCGACCTGGGGGCGGCGTGAACATATGAACTTAGACGCTGCAGGGCTATTGGGGGGAGTGATAAACCTCCCTTGGGCCAGTTGGGCCTGTCGTGGGGGATCCTTGAGGTTTGGGGCGCCATTAGGGAACCACGCGGAGCCCCGAGAAGGGAACCAGCCAGACGCCACACTCAAGATGGCGTTGGACGCCGAAAGCGTGGCGTGACGTGGCGGTGCAACCCACGTGGAAGAGTCCCGAGCCGTGGGCTACGTTCTTCTTGTCGCCACCGCACTTGGCTGTCGAACTTAGAAACCAAAGACATGGGTGGAAACATTTTAAAAGACGGAAGAAGTTTCCATAAAAAAAAACACTGTGCCACACATAACATGGCGACAGACACCGTTCATTGCCCTGTCGCCAGAAGGGGGCGCCCGACACGGAAGGCGGGACTCTGGAGAAACGAGCGCCCATTGGCTGAGAGTGGCGGGCGAACACAAAGTTGACGCTTTGCGTCCTGCCATTGGAGGTTGGGCTGTCTGTCTCTTGGGGCAACCGACCTGGGGATGGAGAAAACCCGGAGTTTGGGATCCTGGAGGGCGGGCGATGCCAATTCCAGTAGATCTCGTGGAGGGGCGAGAGGGACTCGCCCTTCTCGATTTTCGTAGTTCTGAGAACATCTGACCCTATTCCCACCGCGAGTTCAGTGAACATCTGACCCCATTCCCACCGCGAGACCCCCAGGGCTGCGCTTACCGGGCGCTT